GCCGAGTTGTAATTGCTCTCGAGTCAAAGTTTACTGAAGTTAAAAAAATGTCGGCTGTTGTGAACAGGCCATAAACCATTCTTGGGCACTCATGTGGAGCACTCTGTTTCCATGGCCTCTGATTGCCACCAAAGTTGATGAAGTTGAAGTTGAAGTTGAAGTTCAGGGGGGTCGGGATGCCAACCACTCTACTCCAGCATCAACTTCCACTTAAAGCCAGAATGTGTGAGTTCTCCAACCCTCAAATTCAGAGCTTTTCTAAGGTCTGAAGCCTTTCAGTATTCTCACCACAACCTCCATGGGATCAATTTTGACTCTCTTGTTTTGCAAAGCATAAAATAAAGCCTTGTCTATGTTCACTTAATGTCCAGATACAAGTCTTAAATTGTGTTGGCTGTAATCTGTTTTTATTTGCCCTCTGGTGGCATTGGTTAGCGAGAATACTAATAGGTTGTGTCAGCACTGTTGGTGCAGGCAAAAAATAGAGAAACAAACAGAAGCAGGCGGATAGAGTGAGAGATTGGTCTGATATTTTTGGAGTGGAGGAGGCAAGATGCTTGAAAAACTGATTGTTGCAAATTAATCCAATTTAATTGAGAGCTTGTTTTAAATTGTCGTATCATAAAAACTGAACGCGATGTTGAAAATCAAACTGCAATGATGAGGCATTAGATGATATGTATTTAATTAATCACCATATTACACACACTGTAGTTAATAAGTGTTCAGGCTTAACCCCCTGTGGGCAGAGAGAAAGAGATAACGCAAAGGAGATTTGTTATGTTCATCAGCTTTCAGCTGCCATCACTTCCCTCCCATCCTGTATGCTACTCAAGCACTACATCTATATAAATAACCCACAAATGGATAGGCTATAACTGAATATCGTTCGTAATTATGATATACCTCATTTAATTGAACCAAGGTTTGAAAAACTTAAGTCCCTCTCTGAGGGCCCTTTGAAAGAATAGCTTTGAATCAGTCAGACCGTCACCATTATTATAACTACTGAATCTACTACACAGTTTTCACTATACACCATACTTCACAGTAGTTATACATTTCTAGCGCTGTTACACAACAGACTATATACACTCGAATCTGTTCAACTGGTCTTAAATTCTAAACATTTTTGGGGACTTATGGAATTGTGTCTAGTTTGAGGAGGAGTTGTTTTTTTTATATATATGTCTTCTGCTTGTACTATACATTAACTGCCTTTATTAATTAATGTATTATTTGATGGCAGTATGAGAGGACAATATACTTATGCTAAATCGTAATTGTGCGGACAGTAAGACAAAAAAAGACAATACAGCTTTTGACTTGCAGTGAGGAAATTGTCTGCAGGAGGATGGTTACAATCTCCTCTCTTTTCCTTCAATTTTCTCTCTCGTTTTATATACCATGAAGTAGCCTGTATTAATTGTTTGGTGTTGTCGACCAAATAGCTTCATGGGGTCTTTGGCATAAAAAAAACTATAATTCTCCATTCTGGCAAGGAGATAACCTGAGTTTGAACTCAAACATAGAGGATCCTAACAAATAATGCTGTTTTAATTTTTTTTTCTTCTTTCTTTCAGCAATTACTGTCCATGCAAGACAGTACTACTGTACTGCAGCTCCTCTCACCTCCTTTTATCATATGGGGAATTAAGGTCACCAGCGGGTGACTTTGTTCATTAAACCTGCCAGTAGCAAACTCAGAGAATAGCACCAGCTAACTGCAGTTTGATTTTATTTTTTTATTTTCTTCCTCTGTTTCTTTCTGTGATGCAAAGTATAATACTATCTTTCCTTTTCAATTTTTTTTAAGAAAAAAATATTTTCTGTTTGGAGATCAGTATTGTAAAGCAAAAAATGTCTTGTTTTTAGCATTCCTCTTCTTGTGTGTTGTAAGTCATGTTTTCAAATAATACACAAACTTGAAACAGCTAAAAGAAGCAAAGAACTGGAAGATATAGCTAGAATCGAGGTGTGGTGGATAAACTTTTTATAGCAGTAGATATAAATTATTTGTGCAAACTATTATGTGTATTATTAAAAATAACCCACATTAAAATAATATATGTTAATCAAATCAATTTGTACATTAAAGTGTCCAGTAACAAAACAAAATGTTGATGCCAAATCACAACATCAAAATTAATGAAAATAGTACATCACTTTGCGCCAACCAACAGATAATTAAACAAAAGACCATGGACACAGACATGTTAAAGATATTTTTTGCCTTTTTCATCAACATTATTTTCATCAGTTTAGCATTTCACCTAAACTGGGAAAATACCAACATTGATGCGCATATATGTTACAATGGTTACCAAATTATTTGCATAAATATATATATGCCTTATACAGAACTATAACTATAACTATATGACTAACTAACTATAGGATCACTTCCTCAACAGATTTCATGATGAGAACATGGATTTATTACTTACTAAAATGACATGTACCATCACAAAATACTGGTGGTTGGTCCATTTGTTATGACACCCCAAACAAACCGCTACAGGGTTTGGACTGAAAACAAGCTGAGACCACCATGAACCTATGGAATTGTTAGATTATGTAGGAGACTCCTGTGTTTCTATATTGATGTATATTGAAGATATCATCGAAAGAAAACTTTGAAATGGGAATTTGCAGTAGTGAAAAATACTCCCACAACCCACATCTTCTTCATGCTCATCCAACTTTGCAATTCCATATGATTCAGCTCATTGCTTTTCCAAGAAAGGTTATTGAGGTTCTGACATGAAGGTCCCTTGGCTGGAAGGCCTGTTTGGTAATCCAACAATGGTACCAACCAACGATGAAGTAACAGAAAACTGCAGAGATGCCTCCACTGATCAATTTTTATTTTTATCTTTACTGAGAATCCCTGTTGCAATAAATAAACTAAAATCATCAGAATACTCAAAATGAAGATATGACACATATACGTACCTACAATGCTATCTTATGATTCCCATCATGTATCTGGGCATAAAAACAGAACCTTTGTTAGGCACTCCTTGTTCAGAACAAAAGCCCACAATCCTACAGCTGAATAAAGTGTGTGTGATATCAATGAAAACCTTCCCTGTGGAGGAAATATCACATATTTCATCCACAACCACCATGGTGACAGGAAGACAGGAATTCTACAGAGACCTCCTCTGCAGGTCTGAGTCTACTGAAGCATTTTGACACCTTTGCTGCTTCCTGTAAAGATCGGCTTGTGGCTTTGAGTGGTTTTGTCAAGATGTGAAGAGGAGTGGGCTGATTTTTAATCCTCATACAGAAATTTGTAAGCAGCCACAGCATGCAGGTGGGCTGTATTGTTCAAGGTCACATTCACTCAATTTATACTCCATTCATGGTAGTTTTTGAAGTGTGTGTTCTTGTATGTCAATTTATGTAAGGAGCAATTTGAATTTTGTAAGACTGTAAGACCGGGGCCCATCTAGGATGGTTGGAGCGCTACTATGAAAGTTAAAAAGCTGTTACCTCCACAAACCTGAAAGCAAAGTCTGAATACTGAATTGCAATTGAGGTGAAATTGTGACAATAAACTTAAGCAATATAATTCAGGGTGAACCAAGGCCAAAACAACAAGTGCTGACTAACCCTAGGTTAAATAAACCAAAAGACATAAACCTAAGCCCTTCAAAGGGAATTAAGAGTTAAGACTCTTTTTGGGGTGAAGGCTAGAAATATTTGGCTCCAAGTTAGGATTTGGGGTTAGAGAATGGATTTTGTCAGTAGAAATAGAAGTGTGCTTGCGTTTATGCATTTTTGTGCCTTTTCTTGTTTTCTTGTTTCTATTTTTCACAGATGTACCTAGATAGCTAGGTTTATTTTATTCTTAATGCTGCCAATGAAGCTCTGACTGGTCGATTGTTTCCTTAACCATCCAAAATAGCTGCTTGGCAAAATTGGCACAGTAGCAGACACATTTGAATCAGAGAACAAAGCTGAGATGGTGGCAGTGGTTCAGAGGTTTGGAACCAGGCTATTGCAGCCCTCAACATCCCATAATTCAATGTCAATTGTAAATTGTTTAAAACAATTGTTGATTTCTAATGGAACTGGAAAATATATATCAGATTTCTGTTTAGGTGATCACTGATCATAACTATGAGCAAAGTTTATGAAGTTTCTCCTCACTCAGTAACTCTCAAAATTGTGTTGTGTTTTTTAAGGGAGCGTAGAGCTATTGCAGTTAGTAGTTCAGTGGTCAAATCGTTTGAAACAGACAGTGTGTTCACTACTTATCGTGACAGGGAAAAGAGCCTAAGCATGTAATTTGCATTATAGTGAACCGAATAGACAGCTAGTTCTGTGTGTACTAACAGGATGTCAGTAGGCAGTCATTCTATGCGGCCCAGGATGCATTAGCGTTTACACTACAAAAGATATATGGTCAACTGTGTCCCAGACCACCTCTGCAAGTGGTTTGAGTGATTGGATCACAATGTGTCTCAGTGGTTGTTTACACTTGTATTTAGAACTGTCCACTTATGATCAGATCACCCAAGATGCATGTTGATACCAGGCGTAAACAGACTCTTGGTATCTTACGTGAAATCTTACATTACTGTCTATTCATATCCTTAAACATAACCATTCAGTTATTAGTGAAAAACAATCATGGAGGTTCTCATTACTTGAAGAGTCTTTATATTGGTGAAAGTGATAAAAATCTCTGTGATGACAGAATGCTAAAACAGTCTAATAAACAGGCTGCTTCGGAATTGTGACTTTTGTTTACACGACCTTGTTACATTCTAATTAGCTTGTTTGAAAAGTTAAATTAAAAAAATGGAACAAAGTCAAACTTTCTACTGAGGATCATAACAAAGAAAACAAATTGAGTGTATTCACATCTTAAACTTCTTTCGTATCTTGTTTCCTACCTTTTGTTTTAAGAATTTATTTTCTTTATCATCCAGACATTAAGTAGAAACATTTCCCACTAACAGAGCCTCTCTGCCTTTGTCTGTTCCCAGACTGGAGTCTCCCACTCGTTCTCTACTGATGGAGGCTCCTAAAGGCATCCAGATCCTGGCTGAGGCTGGAGACATCCAGGCCATCTGCAGGAATGAGCTGAGACTGGAGTCCAAAGACGGAGAGGTGTGTCAACATTGCTAATGAACATTTTGTCTGTTTGAAGGTCAAAGACTGCACCAAATCAAGAAAATGCAGGCAAATTCTGGTTTATTGCAACTTCACGTCTTATTTTCATAGTTTTGGTAACAATGGCATTGTACTATGTTAATTACTGAGATTTGGCAACACTGGGACATTACTAAAACAATTATGATGTGTCACAAAATATATCAAGTTGATCAGACAGTTTGGAAACACACCCCGAGGTTGGTGTTGATGTATTAGGAATACAAAGTAAAGGCTAACTGTAAAGCTTCTACTGTGACCTACCATACTTACTGTAGTCCTGCACACACTGTTTTCCTGTGCAAGAAGTATTATTACTGACATTTTGGGTGCATTCACATCTAAAAAAAAGTGGATTCTGTTTCTATCATCATTAATTACCGCTTACCATCTTATCAATCATTGTCAATCACTGTAAAAATGGATGTGAGTTTTTTTTTCAAATTGTGAATAATTTTTTGGAACAATGTGACATTTAAAGAGATTCACTGAAAAATAAGTCACACATTCACACAACACTTTTCACTAAAACTCACTAATACACTTCAATTAGGGACATTCAAGACATTTTAACATGTCAGAGTAGAAAAGGCGCAGGTGTGAAATAATAAAATTAATGATGGCTGAATTCCATTTAGCTACTTAAGTTTCTGGGCCCTAGTATTGTGCATTCTGGCTCACTGTCACACTCTTATGACTTAGGACATTTGAATTGAACAGAGTTAATAATTTGTAACTCCTTTGCTTTTACAAGTCACAATGTCTGCTATGAAAAGGGGCTGTCTTGTCCTTATATACAGAACAGTAAGATTTTCAAGGATTTAATCATTATTTCAAATTATGAGAATTTAATGCCACTGGTTTTAAAACTGAAATATAGCCTACATTGTTTTTTAATCCTTCATTCGGTTCTTTATTTGACAACAAAGGAGCAGCTAAAACAGCTTGATTTCTCCAGAGAATGAACTAATTGTCTTTGTTAAATGCAGTCCTGTAACTTCAAACGTGCTTTTTGTAGAAACATAAAACCTCCCACTGTGTACTGGCAAGTTGAGAAATTAACTTTTCTTGTCCTCTGGCCATGCTGGCTGATGGGGCTCCATCTCAATTCCATATTTCTCCTGTCCAAACTTATTTTTAGCAAACAGTCCAAACAATAGTTAGCTCCCTCAGCCAACATGGACCAGCATTATGCTTATTGGCTGGTGGCAATTTCCCACATTCTGGCCATTCACCAGAATCTGTTAGAGCCTCACAGAAAAGCTGGAAAACAGAGGACAGAAGTTGTTTGTTTGTCTTTCTCTCCCATCCTCCCTTCAGTCACTCATTCAGTTCTTTTTGAGTCTTTGACATGCATTTTTTTTTGCATCCATATTTTCTTCCTTACAATTTCCTGCCCTTTTCTTTCCTCCTCCTCTTTCCTCTGTCCTCTTTCTGTCTTTAACTTTGCTTATTTACTGTCTTTTTTTCCTGTTCACTCTCCTCATCCTCATGCTGCTTTTTGCCTTCTTTCATCCCTTCCTCTCTGCTCCTAAATTCCTCCAACCATCCCTGATTCGCTACACACATCAGTACTCACATTCATCACGGTCGGCTGCGCTGATAAAAGGATTTCCCACCTTAGGTTGCACCAGTCGTGTCATGTCAGATCTGTTAAAATCAGCAGAGAGGGATTAGAGAGAAGAAAGTGTTTAAAAGTTTCCCACAAAAACAGTTTCATACATTAAGACGGGCTGCTGATATGAGATGGACGAGGAGAGAAAAACTGTTTCAAGAAGGTGCCCTTGGATTCAATTCGGTCCAAATTAACCACAGTAGCAGTCTTAAGCCACGCCCACACCGCATCTTCTTGCAGCTGTCATGGATGTGTGGTCGAAAATGAGGCTGTTGAACTCCTTGATGGTCAATTCATATAATTAGACTCACGTTCTCACACTCCATTAGTGTTGCAAATGTGCATTTGTCAAACCTTTGTCTTACACACACACAGACACTCTCCCTCTTTAGGACCCCCTTGGCGCCGCCAGAGCAATTACAGCGTGGTTTTGGTCATTAGACACCCACAAACCACATAGGCAGATACAGAAATAGACTCACACACACACTTGTATATAATGAAACACTGTGGATTACTGAAGCCACTCATAGACACATAACTGACACTAGATTACACATTCACGTTTTCTTGAAGAGTAACTTCTACCAGTCTAATGATCTGGCTTGGCCTGCCGACTGGTGGTGACAACATGCTTTTTCCACACTGTGTGCAGAAGTAATGTACTTAGAGTAATGCACTATAGTAGCATGTTACATCACAGCTGAGTGTGGTCACAACAGAGAACCGTTGAAACTGCTGCTTTACTAATGTGCTGCTCTCACTACACAAACATTGTGTGGACATTGCATTGTAACAGTGTAGCTAATCACTGATACATTCCAGGTTCTGCTCAGAGTATGATGCAGAGGCAGAGTGGACTGTAGGCTTACATCACCAATGTGTGCCATGTAGAAAAGGCCAATTTTGTAAGAGCAAACGACAAACCTGGCAAAGACCGTCTGTGTCTGTATTTCAGTTTAACACTGGCAATTATATTCCATTGGAAGAAAAACACTAAAAGAAATCTGTGTGTTTACTATTGGGGTGAAACAAAAATCGAGATTTAGAATTTTTTGTTAATTACAGGACACTTTCAGGTTAGATCATGGATGTCCCCGACTAAAGATTTTCCTATTCGACTAGTAGTCAATAGAAAACAGCCAATAGTGAACACAATTCATGCCGTTTAGACATCCATGCATACAACAGTGCACCACTTAATGACTTCCTGTCTTACAAGGGAAAAGGTCCATGTTGCAGCGACCCCCTGATAGTAGTTCAATGTTGTTTTAGTTTTTCTGTGACTACCTGATTGATGAAAAGTGACTAAGACTCCTCTCGGCGGGTAAGTCGACTACTAGGGTGCAGCTTTAGATCAACAGCTGTTGGTCAGATAAAAGATGAACATCTCTTTAATAAATCACTGGCTCACGCCATTCTGCCACTGATTGTGTGTAGAGAGCCTTCAATGTATATATTTCTATCTCATTATCTATATCTCTGTTTATTTTGAAGATTGAAAATGGATGGAAATTGTTTTTTAAATACCAACCCCCCCGCCCCCCAAAAAAAATATTATTATTATTTTTGCCATTTGCAGCACAAACACTGTTGTATACATAGACAATTTAGTTAAAGTTAATAACCACCAAAAGAGGAGGGAGCTTTTTCTTTTTGTGGCAGCAGTAATTAAAACACATTTTTGGGATGTCTGGGGACATAAAATCAAATAAAAAAAGAAAACTAAATGAAAACCTGTAAAAATCAAAAAATCTGTTGGAACTATGGATATATATTTGTTAGTGAAAATCTGTAAAGACTAAAAACAGTAAGTCTTATCTTTACTTGCTTGTCCTTCACTAGTGTCCACTCACACTCTCAGCTTTACACACACGAAGATAATCCAATCTCACAGACACATACTTACACACAGGTTCTTTCAGTGTTTCACACTGTCTGCCCCTCGTGGTGAAAGATTTGTTCAACAGCATCTGTCTGAGGAAGTCAACTGAGACTCTGCTTTAAAAGTGTTCCAGGTCATTTGATTGTGATGCCTCCCCGAGGTGCCTGGTAATGGCTCCTTTACCTTTGTATGGCTGGAGAGCTCCTCCTCTCCTCGGCCAGTGAAACACCAGCTCTGTAGGAGCCCCAGGAGGGCGGGAGGGAGGAGGGAGGAGGGGAGAAGAGGGCAGAGAGATGGGATTCATGCAGCAGTGGTTTGTGTCTGTGCAGAGGAAGAAAGACAGTTTGTTCCAATCAATGTGGGGCTGAAGGGAGTAAAATGAGTGGATGAGTGGTTGTGTGTCGGCGTTTGTGGTGAGGTGGCAGAAGGAATTTTCTGGAGTTGTGCTCTCTTTTTGTCCTTTAGATAGAGGAATGACCTTTAAATCAGCAGAGGGTAAACTTTTCTGAGCTTTTTTGCTTTTAGATTCTCAAAAACATAACATGCCATAAAGACATTTCTGTGAATCTTTTTTTGGTCATATGTCAATGAATGCTCTGGCCTTTAGATGCATGGCTACTCAAGTTCCACATATCTGTATGGACAGTAACTGCCATTTGATCATACGATAGCAGGTAAAATGTTTAAAACTGTTTAAAAAGTCAATCTGATACCATATCTGAAGGGAACTTGAAAACGTTTTTGCAGAAATCGTGGCACAGTGGAACTAACCATTCTTCAAAAGTCACCTGAACATAATTATGCTTACTGTGAAGAAGGGAAGTCATTTCAGTTAACACCAGCCTTTTGAAGATTTGAGACATTTAAAGTAGGCTCAACAATAGATGATTGACAGTTATGTCCATCACTCAGCCACTCAACACTTAACAGCTGGTCTCTCATTGCTCTTTACCTCTGATTTTCCAAAATGAAAAACCTAATCATCACCTTAATGTTCCTCTCAGATTTAACTAACAAAACTTGGAGTTAGAATCTAGCCATACAGTTGCAATATTATGTTTAATTTGTATGCTTTTTAACTTTTTTTTAAACTACAATACCTTCATACCTAGGTTTTCAATAGTTCTTAATGACATTTACAGTAGGAGGAGTAATTTGCTGACAGTCTGGTACTTCAGCTGGTTTCTAGTGACATAAATCTCTTAGTGAAAAGTGTGTTTGTGCAATATATTCTGGCTTTTCTGAGCTTTGAGAGACTTACTTTTACATTTCACCTATATCCAGTCTCCTGCTTCAGGGATTCAAACTGACCTTTAGGTTTACTATCCTGTGGGCTACCGCTGCCTCAGTCTGTTTGAGATTTGTCCAAAGAAATTATGCCAGATGCATTTCTGGGTGACTTTTACCATGGATATCAGTTTGCAATGCATTAATGTTCACGCTTCAAATCCAACACATGACCTTTATCATTCACTACACTCACACATATATTGATTGGGCAAATTCATAAGAAGATTGCACAGCTTTTACGGCCACTAAACCTGCACAAATAAGACGTGTTGGTCACAAAGCACCCGCAAAGGCTGGAGTGCACCTCTAACTGCGCTTCTAAGCAAATTGCGTCTTGGTGCTGCAGTACTTTCTCCACGTATTTAAATTAGTGACAATCCATACATTAGGCAGAAAATTGGTCCCTTTCGATGCAAATGAGCCCCATTGCAAAAAGTCCAATTCACAAACACCAACGCTAAAAGCCACATGCAATTATTATTATTATTATTATTATTATTATTATTATTTATTTTATTTGAACAGGGACAGTGCACAATAAAACATTAACCCTGTTATATAAACAAGAAGGAGAGCATTGCACTGGGTTTAGCAAATTTGCTATTTTCCACCCGTAGTCCTTGGGCAGGGTAAATGAAATTCAATAATTAAAAAACAGTTACTTAAAAATTCACAGTTGTGCAAAATTTAAATTACAAAGTTGTGAATACACACATTCCCACATCATGAATCAATTAGAGTGAAATTATTTGCTTCCTCAGAGAGCTGGTGGTAACTGAAGTGCACTTATTAAGGGTGTCACAGGTAGACTTTCCAGTGATCATGGCGGTAGATTCTAGCCAGGCGATGCAACAGCACACCACAGTACATCATATGCACACAGATGGCACAGACACTACAATACCTGATAGTCACCATGAAGAGCAGAATAAATCCTACTGCTGTGAAAAATGGAGACAATTGTTAGGCAGTGGTTACACACTGGAGAGAAAACAGCTCTCCATGTGCCCAAAGGAATGAGGCAGAGTCAAAGCACCCCAAATAACAATCAATCTGAGAAAACACTCCATAAAGAATGAGTCATAGAAAAACAAGCAACATCCCACAAACAGAAACAAGTGAAAGAGCAGGGGGAGTTAATATATCATTAGGATAAGATATCTTTCAAATCAAACATCTTAAAACATGAGTGGAAAGTATTGTTCTTAAAACTGCATTTATACATTTTTTTGACTCAAACGTAGCTTAACCAGATAATGTGATCTGCTTCAGTGTATCTTAAGAACAAATATTACTAGGACCACTACAGAAAATTGCACAAATTTGGCAAATTTCATTTAGCTAAAACACTTTATAGCCATATGTCTTTTGTGAATTGGACCTTGGGATGGGGCAGATAGCGTTTGCGAGTGATGTGCAATTCATGGTACTCTCAGCACCCGGAATCCATTCTTTATGAATTCGCCCCAGAATGTCTAAGGGAGCTGGAATACACTGAAAGTATGAATGGAAATACACAATATCTCATATCAGAGAAATTGGGTAAATTCTGCCATTGAGTGTGACTTTCAATATCTAGACCACTTAACATTCTATGCAACAGACAATGTGGAGCACAGGTGTTAAGAGCCACAGTCACTATTTGTGCGAGTCCAATACTGTGAGGTAGAAGATCTGGGTAGAAAAATAAAACCCAAGCTAAGGACGGTGGGTGAAGAGATTTGCTTTGAGAGCAATTAGAGTGAAGAGACGAGAAGAGACACATGATTCAGCGGGGGTTAGCTGAGGTAAAGATGAAAGGGGAAAAGAAGAGTTTTTGTGCAATTTCTGGTCTGAATGAAGAGCAACAATCACGACTATATGGAGGTCAATCACTGTAAAGTATGTGGAGTTGTGATATGAACACTTGCATGCAGGACATGCAGATGCTGACGTTTATTGAGGAGTGATTTTAAGGAGATTGAATGAGTTGTGCTGTGGCTGGTCTTTTGCCAGACACATCCTGACCATCGACAGAAGAGTCCTGTCCAGCTGGCCTTAGTACAAGCGCGTTAATTCACAATCAGCAAACAAGAAACTCTACTTAACTTAGATTTATCCTTTGCACAGCAAGTGGGTAACATGTCTATGTAACCTGACTTCAAGATGTGCTGGCTGGGGGGTAATGAAAACATTGAGTCAAAATGTATCTTGGTTGCTGCAACGTAACCCTTACGTAACATGAAGGGAAATGGATGTAACTACACTTTATATTCAGAACCCATGTTAATGGAGTAATTGTAAAAACAGAATATTTTGCTCCTGTCAGTAGACTAGAGAGTAGTCAGTAGAGCTAATATATTGTGTTTAATCTTTAACATTTAGATGTATAGTACATTTCACCCACAGGGAAATACAAAAAAGGCATAAAGACAAGATACAAAAGAACATTTTCAATTATTTCCGCTGAGAGAAAATCCACATTTATTCAATTCCACTCTGTATACAATCGTAACGCCTCTAAAATGTTCAGTCTGACGCAGGTAACCAAAAATGTCAAGAGTATTTCTTTAACAACTGGAACTTGTATTATATTATTATGTTTCCCCCTTTTTCCAATCTCACCAGTTTTTTCTCTTCTACCCCAGATATCTCTGGATGCTCGGAGGATTCGCCTGATGCGGCTGCCTGAGGGGAAGGCCTCCACCAGCTCCTCGTCCTCTGGGACCAGGCAGACTGTCTACGAGGTTTGCGTTTGCCCCAACGGGAGGCTTTTCTTGTCCCAGGCCGGCACCGGATCCACCTGCCAGTTTAGCAACAACGTCTGCCTCTAGGACTGATTCATACAAATATACATAAATACACAGATACCCTGAAAGAAAGACGGGCAAAAACAGACAGATGTACACAGATCGCCTGCCTCTAGGACTGATTCACAGCAAACACTACATACAAAGACTGCCAGAGCTGATGGAAATATAAACAATCATAGATACTGTACCTATACAGACACACTGATGTATACACTTTACAATCACAGACACTGATGACTGATATTTAGGCTCAACCGATATGTTTTAACAGGCCAATACTAAAAATGTTGGATTGAAGCTGATGACAGCTGATATTTTTGCCAATATTTCAATGCTAAAAAATATTTCCTCCTTTAATTTTATATGTTTCAGAGAGTAAAAGCCTTTGAAAACAGCATTTAGAGAATCATAGGAGACTAAAACTCTCCAGTGAGTGTCATTCACATCTATATTAGCTCTTTATACATACAGTACAGCTGAAGTTATTAGGCTTTAAAACTGAATTACAAGAATAAAGGAAAAAGGAAAATGGGTTGCATTGCAGGTTTTAACAACTTTTTAACATAACTGAGATCAGAAAGGAACCTTCACATTCATCATATTATGGATATTGGAGGACACTGACTGGCTGATTCACTGATATTTAATAAAAGGACAGTATTGGTAATATATTGGTCTGACCCTAACAGTCATGACATGACACTGCTATTTATGAATAGCGTACACACATACAGACACACACACCAACTTACAGACATGCATTCACACAGTCTAGATATTTCAACATGGTGTACACACACTCTCACTCTTTGCTCGTAGGAGCCTCCTGGTAGAAACTAAGAGGAAAATCTCCAGAGATGTACTAGAAGACACACTGATCTGTTCCCTGTCTCCCTCAACAGCATTTCAGTATCAGAATCACTAGGGTGATCACCCATGGCAAAAGGCCCCACCGACTCCCTCTCCCTGCTGTTGTTCTTCTCCTTTTACTCATCTTTTCTTTTTCTTTCTCCGATTGTTAGCACAGCTGTGATAATGAAAGGATTTCTACTTTTCCTGCTGCTCATAAGGCATTTTAAAGCTCCATAGGCATATTTTAAGCACTTAATTACAACTATTCCTCATATGAATTGTATCAGGAAATAAAATAATGAATATGAGGACCTGACATGGATGTGTTTTAAGAACTGGATACCAGACTTCAAAATGGCACCCATTCACCTTAATGAATGAAAATTGCTTGGCCAACACACAAGCCAAAAAAGCTTTCTAGTTTACAGGTTCGCTCAGCCCATAGACTTAACATTGGGATGATGGCACGCTTTTCTAGTGTCTTGGAAAGTTTTACAAATATAACACCTTCATGGACTGAAATTGATAATGCAGCGTAGTACCTGACCTTGTTTGCAGTTTTAGGCATCCTATTAAAAGTTTTACAGATGCCTATGCTATAATGGTTTTACTTGCAATACCACAAGTGGCCATTGGAATAAATAGGCAGCAAGGCTGACTGGCAGTGTCTGTCCAGCTCTCTTAAAACATTCATGGGATAGTACATAAGGTAAACATATTGACAGCAGCCATTTCAGTCAGAACACATACCAGATGCAGATGTGTATGTGTTATGTATATAGGCAGCGAAGTTGTGTGTCAGTAAATTAGCAAGCAAAATATTCAGCCTATTTGATCTTTGGTACAATCTGTCCAAAGCCTATCGTGAAAAACTATGACTTATGCCATGTTCACTTTCTATCACATTCACCCAACTGGGAAAAATCATTCAACAACTGTTCAAATTTACTCCCCTAACTTTTAACATTTGGTATGACGTGCACATGGCACAAGTGCTGCAAACAAACCTCAACCACTGGTATGTCAGATGGTTTCTCTTTTTAATGAGATTTCCTTTTTTAATTTGATGTAATCTTTTGATTTTAAGCTGAATGGAAAGCTATTTTAATTTCACATAATGTCAGTATCATGTTTTGCCTGCATAAATCCTGTCCATGTCTCTTCCTGCCAAAACAGTATCACCCTCCTACCACCCTGGCAATGAAGACAATGATAAAAACAGCTCAACATCCTGTTCTAACACTTAAAAGAACATACTGTATGTCATAAATGTCCAATATAAGCTGCTCGAACCTCTGTGGTGGTCACCCTACTTGTTTCTTGCACTGGGACATTTTTAAAAAAAGGACAAAAAAAAACTAACTAATGCGAGCCACTCTGTTGAAAGAGGGGAACTGTGCCTGTGCCTTATGTCAATGCACTTGTGGCAAGAAGAAGCACATCACACAGACTTTCTTTGGCATCAACGAGTAACCTGACCTCTGATTTCAGTTCAGTTTCATCCCATCTACAAATCTCTCCCTCTGTGTGAATGCAAAGACCTTCAGCCACATCTGACTGTAGCGCCCCCTGCTGTCAACACCTGACTCTGCAAAAGGATGAGGGATTTTTTTCTTTTTCTATTTACCACCTAAGCTTCCCCAGTTTGGGCTGATGCGCTTGTTACTTTGCTTTTCATGATCAAATATTCTGTGTGAAAACATGTATGTGTTTCTATTAATGTTTTAGGTGATGAACATGAAGTTTAACATACAGATTATGCCACTGATGGGTCTCATTTCCACTGCTTATCGCAAACTACTTGGCCAAATACATTTAGTTTTACCAACATGTTACCACACAAGATCATTACATCTTAACACTCCTATTTTCTCATCTTAACAGGTTAGATGTCAAAAGCATGTTGGTTTGTGACATGTGAATTCCTGGGTTTTAGGTGGAGACCAGTTTGGCGAGAAAACTTCTTTTAATTTCTTGTATTTATATACAATATCATAGCACTGCTTTCTTTCTGTATTCAAACCATATTATTAGTATTATTGTAACAGTGTAACCATGCACAGATATTCTAGAAAGAGAGATTATTTAAAAAACATTTAAAAAAGGGGAATTGCATTGAATTTGACTTAACATTTTTTTCTGGCCATAGGGTACAATTCTCATCGACAAACCTGTTTCTAATGAACTTATCTGCAAAGTTGTAGTGTTCATACGGAGCATATCAGCAAAACATTCAGTGACAATGTATACTTCTTTTGTTTTCCTGACAAGCTCTGCTTCTGCTTTATGGTTCTTTCACATGGAAGCATCAGTCAACATTATCAAATCAGATTTTGACCTTTTAAGATGCAATAACTTGTAAAGGCATAAAGGTGTTGTGTCATAACACCCACGAGAAACTACACCATTTGGCCAAGCAGCTTGTGATAACTCTTTAATTCACTCATAGTAACGCACAGCATTTATTTATATCTCATGTTGTTTAAAGTGTCACATCCTTTTCACGAGTCAGGTGTACCAGCCTTCTTGCTGTCTCTCAGCTTCTCTGTCGCTGTATATTAAACGACTTTCAGAAATATTTCACAACAAAATGGAACCTATCTGATGTATTTGTTTTTTGAATACATGTACACAAGAGAAATCCAATTTTTTTATACGGTTGTATATGTAAATAATGTATACATAGCCGCGTCGGTGCACATCAGATGATAGATGCTGACGAAAGAGAAACACTGCTCTTTTGCAAAAAGGAAAACCTTTTTATAATGTACATCAGTATGTGTTTTTATACTAAAAGGGCAAAAAAAATAATGTTAAAGGATGTTCATTGAGTTAGCATGTACAGCAATGTATACAATGTTCGCCTGTGGAGAACAAGCTGGTTTTGTTTTTATGCCTTCTCCTTCCTGTATTTGTCACTCCTGCTGAGCTCAGATGTTTCCCACAAACACGAAACCTGCTTTATTTTAGTTTTGTTGTTGTTCTGTTGGGCCCGAGGTCTTTGCATTCTCTCCAAGTGTGCTGTGTGTAAATTTGTGCTACTATGCGTGAGCTTTTGTTTTGTTCTTCTGCTCCACAGAACGTGTTGAATGACTCTCAGAGAAGCAAACACAGAAACCAAAAGTAAAAAGAAAAAGCAGAGAAGGAAATTATACAGAGGATTACACAAGAGTTGCAACCATCAGATTAATGCAGAACCAGGCAACAAAAATCCAATTATTGAATAACCTAATTACCAATCATCGGATCAATTATCAGATCAGAAACAACATGGCAATCGGACAAAAAAAGTTATTAAAAGTAAATGATTACTTGGACATTGGATTTGACCAGATCACATTATATAATGCATCCCTGTGTGTTTATGCTGAGTGCTCTGTACTTCCTTTTCTGGCTACGCACTGGGGTTAACATCCATCCTGAATATTCACATTTTTCTTCATTCTTCAGTCTGAAACTGCCGTTCATGGAGTAGTTTTCAATGATGCCAAAATAAAAGGCGTTTGCTCAAATTGATTGCAGTAGTCATTGGATCCTTCCTGACAAGAAAAAAATAACTATAAATTCTATGTACAGAACAAGAAACCTCTTCAGTGCGAACTTCATATAATGTATTATTTTTGAGGGCTGAGCTTTCTTTAGTAGAGACTTGAAGTACTGCTCTCCTAGCTACCCTGTATTTCAATTGTATCTAAATGATAATGCAATGATCTTAGCATCTATTTTAGCATTTAGCATCTAGCAACTGCAACTTCCATGAAGCAACATGACTTTGTAGTATTCATTCTACTTTGTTACATCATCTTGGAGGGGGTTGTTAAGTTAAACCACATATTGGCTGACTAGCTAGACAGTGTGCAGGCTTCGGCTCTCTATAACAGTCAGTGACATCTGGAAAACTGAAGAGTAATGCTGGTGGAAAAAGCTGATTGATTGGCCAGGTTTATTACGTTTATTCCCTTCTCTAGTTTCTGTCTTATATTACCTGTTGTGCTGAAATCCCAGATGTTAAGTGTATCACAAAGAACCCAGTGCCATACAACAGTGAAGTCAATGATAACAAATCAAGTTTTCAGAGGTTCAGAAGCTGGTTTCAGGCAGTCTGAGAAAAACGCTGCTTTGATCTCAATTTGACAGTGTCTCATTTAAAAGAAGAAGAAAAAATTCATCCTAAAAGTAATGGGGAGTCATCTGCTCCCTCAGGCCACGCTTTACTGCACTAAATCTCTTTTCATCTGCAGACATTTCTGCTACAACTTAAAGCATGTATACAGTGGTGAGTGGAGGACAGGGTAGATTACACAGAATTGTAAAGAAAGTTATTTTTAACATATTCCTAGTTCGTAGAATGTTTCATTTCTTGTCAATATATGACACAAGGCCATAGCTACATTGCATTGATGACATTGAGGTCATCTCTACTGTATTCTTTTCTGTAAATTTGCAGGTTTTGGTATTATATTTTACAATATAAAGCTACCACGTGGTGTATATTTAACTGGAATGCTTACAGTATTTTAAATGTTCAGTTAAAATTAAAATTGTAGGGAATGTATCATAACTTGAAGATCTACAGCAAAGAGAGATTTTCTTTTTCTTCATTAAAAATGAAAAATCCACCTAAAACATTTTTCAAATTGTCAGAAATGTGAAGATTTACCCACCACACTTTGATGTCCTTTATATTTCTGAGTCAGTTTAGTTGTTTGGTAAGCTTTCTATCATGACCATCCATTTGTAAATGCAACAGTTTTCAAATGACAGTTCTATTCTGGAGATAAAAACCTAGACAAGTATGTTGAAAATGATACATCCTGTTATATTGTATGCTACTTGTATAATATAATGATGTCACCTGATCATATCACTGATGATCCATACAGAAACTGGAAGAATACTGGATTTAATCTACCCAAAATGACATGTGCAGCAGTCCTTTGTGTTTTATCTCATGCTGTTTCCTGGTTCACCCAGTTTCCACATTTCGCTGACGTCCTCGTAATCTTCATGGTGCTATATCGTTCTGGTGGCACATGAGTAATCATATGTGTGAAATTGGTTTCCAGAGAGTTTTGATGCCTTTCTTTGTCTCTGAGCGTAAAAAAACACTAAAGAAAAGGAGACAAGCCCTGGAGCTTTTTGTCAGGTGTTAATTAAACTTTTTATTCAGAGAAAATAGTCTAAACTTATTTAAGTACAGGCCTTTTTGCCTTTCTTTTTGCATCTTGTAAGTCAATGCTACTATCATCACCAACATGCCAAGAGCAGCAACAGCTGTCACAGAAACTGTCCCATTACTAAAAGTCAAACATTTGATCCCTTATAACAGACAAATCAGTCTTCTTTTTACAGTCTGCTGTAGAGTAGCACTGGCCACATTCGATCAAACTTAAATTTCCTTTTAGCATATTTCAATTTTAATATTTTTACCCGACCCTTGTGCTGAGCTCTGGCAGAGTTCAGTATGAGTCATGCCTCCTCTCTTGTTTGCCGTGTTATCAGCCGAGTGAACTGGTGCCACCCCAGATTAAGCCGCGCTCCTCGCTTTCTTCGGCTTACGATGGTGAGGCCAGGCTGCAGACAGAGTGTTTGATCTGTGTTTCTGAGCTGCTGGAGGCCTGGAAAATGGGCTTCAGCTGATTGGCTCATTAGCCAATCTTCACTCAGCGTCGACTAACCTCAAGCTACAGATACGCTGAAAAAAAAATACATCTTAGTGTGTCATTAAAGCATTTGTCCTGTATCAAATTTGCAGAAAACAACTGATGTTATCTAAATGGGACTGGCGACAAGTCAAGTTTGAATGCTCTTTGTGAAAAGCCTTTCCCTTCCATTTCTTTATCATTACAATAACTGTCAAAGGATGAAAGTTAGCAGGATTAGCAGCTTCCCCATCAATCATACATTTGATATGCCCAACTTGACCCTCAGTTGTCAGGGTTTTGACTAGTTTGTCTCATGCAACAGCTCTATCTTTGTCCTTTCACCAACAACTGATGGCGAACTGAGGACGTTTCAAGGTCGAGTGTCTTTTTCACAGAAAGGCAGACAAAGATTTCATGCGACTTTGTGCCATTTCACTTTTGAGAAAAGAGCTTCTTCTTCTGCGTCTTCATACAAAGACTTTTCTTTAGGATTATTGGAATAAGATGCCCATAAAGCTGAGAGTGAGTTATTGACTGGGCTTTTCTCAGTGTCATGCCTCAGTTGAAAGGAAAGTAAGAAAAGGGGTTTATCTTTTTTTTTAAATGTTACCTAAAGGGCTGCATGAAGAGGAGTGAAGTCTGTGTAATGCAAAAAGCTTAACTTGAACTGTAAATGTGGAGGATGTTAAACACACATTTATAGGAATGTGGCCTGTTGTTGCATCATCAGTGCTGGTTTCTGTGCTTTTTGTTGAGGAAGTTCCCACAGAGAAGGGATTTTGCCTGTGGTTAAATATGAATATCACCTGTGTTGTTTGAAGCTGGTTTAAATATTTCATTAATCTCAACACTACCATAAGTCAGCTGTTTAATGGTGGAGGCTCTGCTTGTATCAGCTCAACTGTTGCATGTTTTTTCCATGACAAACAGGAACAGGCTTTCCTGAATTCTCTGTTTTTCGTATGTTGCAGGCAACCATTTGGTTTAATTTTGGCTAACAATGAAAACACAGGCATTTCTTTTTTGCAGGAAAGCAGCCATTGTCGTGCAGTCTCTAATACAATGATTTGGTCAATAAAACAATGCAAGTGATGTGAATTTCAGCTTTTCGTCTGGTGGATGGAAATGTTCTTCCCTCGTTGTCATTTAAGTTTTATTCACTGATTTGATTTGCTTTTACCTGTGCTGGTTGTTGAGATTTATCACAGGATGTTGAGTGCCATGTATTTGTAATACCTTTATTTCTGTTTCATTTGCAGTGAGTGTAAAACCTTTAAAGAAATATATTTTGTCTTTGAGCTGTTGTGTGTGTGCGTGTTTTTGCTCACTTTTGCCTATTTGTGGGTACTGGATCAATGGTATTTATACAGTAGATACTTCTGAATGAAGTGTTTTTACCTGCCAGGTGTATCAGGTGGTCACATGAATGTGCACACCGGGCTGTAAAGATTTTTTTTTGCGTAATTCATGCACTTACTGCACTCCATGTTGGCTAAAACAAATGCTAACCAATATATTTGCAGTGTGTTGTTTGATCCAGGTGTGGTAATCTTGCCTTTTCTTTTGGCTTCACAGAAACGTGTTATGTGACCTTTGGTGTCATTTCAGTGGAGCACAAAAAGCAGAACAAGGACTCAAATGAAATATGTTGCTTCTGATATCATATCATGTCATATTTGCCCAACACCAACCAAGTGTAAATACGAGCCCACTATTTCAAAGGAGGAGATTTTTTTGTACTAAACTCTCACGCTTAATAAACATAAAGGTACCAGTTACGGATCCTTGACACCGTCACTGGTTACAGATTTTAAAAGTGTGGAAAAATTCAGTGTTTGCTTGAGATTTGTGAGACTGAGAACTTATGTGTCAGACTTACAGGATGTTATAGTTTTTATCTGTTTGTACCATGATGTACGCAAAGGGGATCCCCACACATTCTATGCAAACAAATGGATATAGAACACATTTTAGTAATGCAATCGATTATGTCAGTAAACTCTCTTAAATTTATTTTACTTTCTGTATACAGTTTGTATTTATGAACTGAGTTGCAATCTAAACTGTATCAATAAACGTATTTTAAAAAGATTACACCCACATGGCACAGTGACAAAGTGTTTGCACTTTATAGTTCTTGCTGTCTTTCACTGAAAACCCTCAAACACACATACAGCAAAGTTTCATAATCTTACATTTGCAGGATCCAGAGGAAAATGTAGTTATACATGTACACATACGACAGCTTGCTCATACTGTTGGCAGTATTTAAAAAAACTTTGATATATGGGCCCATTTCAATTTTGAAAGCCAGAGATAAGCAATTACTGAGTAACTGGCACTAATCTGCAGAGCCAGATGTGATTTTGTCACTTCACGATGAAAATAAACACTGGGGGCAAAGGTAGCATCGTGGTCCTGGATAGCAGTGAAATCAGCTTCTATAAAGCTCCAACCACAGACGTTATGTTCCAATTCTGCTGCATTTTTTTGGTTTGAAACATGCATCTATTTAGAGAGATGGATATGGTTCACAGGGCAGCATTGCCGCCAATTTGTCCCAGTCTGTGGTACTTAAACAAACAATCCCCAGTGACCAAAAAAGCATTTTCCGCATAGACCAAAGAGAAGCCGCTAAAAATGTAAATTATTTGTTTTATTATCCATTTTTAAACTGCAAAAGTTTGTTTTTTAAACAAGAGCCTAGAGAACTATTTTTAGTTAAGTAAATAAAGGTTTTATTTTTATAGCACTGTGCTAACACAAAGTGCTTCACAAACCAACAAATAAATATAAACACACACATACATACACACGTGTATATACGCATATTCACATAAAAATGTATACATACACAATCATATACAAACATATAAGTACTGTCATATGGATAAATAAAACAACAGGAAATTAATAAATTAAAAAGACAGACAACAAAACTAAGTAAACAAACACAGGAAAGGAGATCTATAAAAAGGCTTGCCTATAGAGGTGGGTTTTGAAGGGCCGCTTAAAACAGTCCAAAGAGTGATTGGAGAAGATGATTCCACAGTATTGTTAAAACAGCAAAGGCAAAAGAAAACTAAGGTGTGAATTAATAGTTTGAGATTTCTGGAAGACAAAAGCATCTGATTTTTTAAATATTTTGTAGCTAAAGAAAACAGGCCTGCACAAGTTTTGTAAAATGATGGTCAAAAGTCATATACTCGTCAAAGATGATACCAAGATTCTTAGCGGAAGATGTGATATTTGTGCATAGTGGTCCAATAAATAGTTCAACTGTAGAGACAGAATTGCCTGGTCCAATTGAAAGAATTTCAGTTTTGTTAGGATTTAGGTGGTGAGAATTGAGAGACATCCAGTCTTCGGCGGCAACTAAGCAGTCATGGAGGGAGGACAGTTGATTCAGGTTATTGGGTTTAGCAGAGAAGTGTATGATTTTCATAGTGCAACCATGGTTTGAAGTTACTATGATGAGGTGTTGTATAGGTTCCAAAAGTCAGAATTAGTTTTTTTTCTTATATTGTTCACACATACATTTTAGCTGGTTCTCTCTAAGCAACATCAGGCCCCAATACCCATCAAACCCCACCAGCTCAGATAGTGCTATAAGCCATAAACTGATGGATATCTTGAGTAAAAATCATTTTCAGTGATTTGATGATTGCTATGATAACTACAATAATAGTTTCCACACAACATTAAAATGTAAATTAATTCCTAAGCAGGGCTAAAAAGTCTGTAGCCATGGCCGCAGCCCTTTGATCCTGTAACGCTCATTACACACCAGGAATCAAAAGTGTTGGATGGATGAAAGACGGAGAGAGAACTTTGCTGTTGTTAGTGCAGTTAAACACCAAACGTGGCAAGCCAAGCAGAGCTGCCAACTTCCATTCATTTTCTCTGAGAAACTGTTGCAGTGACAGGCAGGTAGAGCAGAGGAAAATATTCAAATAAAAGAACCAGACCTGGAAGAGGTAGAAATCCATGACACAATAACCACATGTGACATTTATTGTTTTTTTTATAAATAATTTCAATTTCAGCTTTTAATTTACTTTTTTATGTTAACATACCAGTGGATTGATTTTTTTTATTGACGATGAATGATTTTATTAAATTTTAATGCCATCTGTCCAATAGTTTTTTAAATAGTTGACTCTAGACTAAAGTCTCAACATACTGTAATTGGTGTGGCCCTACCCTGTTTGCCTCACCAATTTATTTCACCTGTTTGTGGGAGTCTTTGTGGGAGTCTGCATGGATCATCAAGGCAACTTGCTGCACCTGAGAGATGGGAGTGGTGGTATTTAAAGGTCTGCTTCCCTTAGTTTCTTTTTTCTCCTACTAGCAGCTGCTACTTCTATTATGAGGTTACACTAACTTTTCTTTCTCTGCAGTGGACCCTATTTAGAAAAAAAATCACTTTCAAAATCTGCAGCTGCACCACCATCCTGCTCACTCACTTCTAGGACTTTTGTTCCACCAGTGCAAACAAACACACCTTGAGCAGTAGTAGTCCTTGATCCTACGTGTCTAAAGCTTTGTACCGATTATTAAAAACTTCCACTCGCAGGGACAAGCAGAGGTTTTATTCTGAGCTAAGGGTGATGCAATATTTCAATGTTTAAAGAAATGACTGACAGCAAGTAATCACCACATAATGCAGCAAATAGTGAGGTTGGGGTAGTAGCAATGAACTGCAGGAGCTGGCAGGGTTATCTTAGCACTTTCAGCTCTCTTCCCTCTCTTCTTGAATCCATGAATCCTAAAATCTGTTAATGGGTCAAAGGGTTTTTTAAATACAGGTTTTTGGTTAGATGCATGAAAAAGGTCCGTGTTTTGTTCTAATGATAATGCTTGTACATATCTTTAAAAAAAGGCAGTTGCTATCAAGTGGCTAGAGGTTGTTGGACATTAAACGTCATCGCGTCGAACACTTAAATCCTAGTGGTGATTATAAAGTCATGTGACCATGGGAGTTGGAACTGTACTGTGCACAGAAGCTGTGTGAGAAGGGGAAGGGGCGTGGGGGACAGTTCACTTCTGGGTCTCCCTAATGGAACGGACAAGGGGGGGAAACGGGGGATCCACTGTAAGTCAGTCACACCTCAACTTTCTTCCAAATAACACATTTCATTCATAATATAATAAATACAGGCCTATAGTTCATGCACATTTTTGTTTTTCTGAATTGTATAATATGTCCTTGTGGTTCTCTAAGTTCTGAAAACTTATACTGTCATATTTTGTGCAGAACTGTGTTCATTGTCTTTTGGCAATGTTGGAGGTGGAGATTGTGCACCTTAAAAAGTGTGTTTCCTGTTCCAAGTGCAATAGTTAAATCCAATTCTTCTGATGAAGGATTTGTGCGATCGAGAAATATAATTATCTGCTTCACTTATGTTGTTATAATAAAACATAACAGTTTGTGCTCGAAGGGGGTCTCGCCCAGGGTGTCATTCAAGATAGAGCCGCCACTGCTTTCTGTGGAGGGAACCAGGGCAATGCTAACTTCTGGGCTGGCCTACAAAAGGACGTCATCCTTGCAGCATACTATTACCTCTATTACCTTTTTTACTCTCACTGCAGCCAAGCAGCATTCCTCCTTCTCCTCTGCCTCTATTTCAAGATGCAGTTGCATAAACATTTATGAACGATTAATACTTTGTGAGCCAATTTAGCTAAAAAACATCCCTTACTACTGGTAGCAGGCCAAGAGCCACGCCAATTTTTTATTATTTTTTTTTAAACCATTGGGGTCAGTCATTTAGTTTGTGCTGACACAGCTTTATGTGATGTCGGTATTTTCTCCCTCTGCGGGCTCTGAGGTGCCAATAATTTCTTTCTTCTGCTTCAGGCTGTGTGGTTGGTTGTGATCAAAACTGTTTCTCAATCCTATGAATAACCTACAGTACAGTATAGCTGTATTCTGTATAGCTGTATTCTCTCAAGGGAACAATAGTCACATTCATGCATGACTAAGTAACAACTAAACGATGTGAAGAGGGCGAGCGTCTGTTAAAAGGGCATTGTTGCCACTGTTTCATGCAGTCACTTTATGAACTGTAAAGGACATCTTTGTTCTGAATCGCTATGAATTTCTGATTATAGTGTTTTGCTTGCATATATTATTTCAGAAAGGTCAAATTCGACAAATCCTGGAGTACTTTAGCAAGGACGCTGCAAACTCTGACGTAAAGCCATCCACTTTGTTTTATGTATCACATTTTAATTTATTTGAATGTTACACCTTTAGCCATTACCTCAGCACATTCAAGCCATGACTCCTTAAACTTTGTTTGTTGACATGATGAAGAGCCCTTTAATGAAAAGGGGCTGTAAACAGCAGGAGGTGTGCAGTTCAAGCTGTGGACTAATTAGCTGTTCAGTGATTGAAAGCTGGTGCACAGAAGTGAGTCTTCCTGTTAAAACTTACATCTCCACTTTGACTAGAAGAAAGAAAGCTGCAGTTGTGGAATCACACTGCAGTTGTTTGGTAACAAAATGGTGGATTTTACGCCCTTTTAAACCGCCAGACTGTGGTAGATGGAAGGGAAGATCTGTGCAGGGGTAATTAGCATTTTGTGTTTGGCTGTATAAACATAATGAAACCTGTGGTTCACATGGGACTAAGAAGATCACATAAATTTGATTGTAAATTGTTCTTCTTGATCATGTTGTGCACCAAACTGGCTATTTCTCAGTGTGCAAACAGTATAAATGGATTGATACAACCTTGAAGACTATATAGGTGGTCTATATAATCCCCTGAAAAAGAGCAAAACTAATAATCTGTTGGTCCACTCACTTACTCACTCAGCTCCAAGCCCATTGTTTCCTACTGAAGATGTATTTTTTCATTTATTCATTTTCAAAATCATATCGAACAGTTTTTAGAGAATAACTGCCACTAACAGGGGAAAATGGTGCATTTGTAGTGTTTTTTTTTGTCAGCTATGAATTCATCCACATTTGATGCTTTAGTGCATATTTTGGGCAGCAGGATAGTGTGTGTTGGAATGAGTTTAGTTTTGCATTACCACACGATCAGAGATCTCACCACCTACTAATCGACTGGGAATTTCTAA